CAAATGCTGCTTCTTCGCTGACGGAAAAGATTACTTCGCAAAATCTCATCTTTTCCTAATAATGATGAATAAGGCAAGTAGCGATTGCATCTGAAATTTTTTTTATTTTTTTGGAAGGATTTTCCTTCTTATGTAAAACTGTCAGCAATCTTTCATTATGTCCGCCGTAGTTTTTTTGAATTTTTTTCCTTTCGAAGAGTGGACAGGAGAATATGTTTTCTGAGGGAATTTTTTACATGCTGTTAATTCTTTTCAAATTTAAAAAAAAATGCCGGTTCCTTCCATTCTAGTTTTGTTCAATTTAACGATTAACGCTCCTAATTACAACTTTTTTTTGGAAGGATTTTCCTTCTTATGTAAAACTGTCAGCAATCTTTCATTATGTCCGCCGTAGTTTTTCTTGAATTTTTTTCCTTTCGAAGAGTGGACAGGAGAATATGTTTTCTGAGGGAATTGCTACATGCTGTTAATTCATTTCGAAATTTAAAAGAACGTCAACTCCATCCATTCTAAATTTGCACAATTTAACGATTAACGCTCCTAATTACAACTCCAAACGTTAAACAAAAACGTAACGTACAATTTTATAAAGAAAACACCGGTGAATTTTGTCAAATGGCACATACAATCATACCTCCGTATTGAAGTCCCATCCACCATCCATCAAGAGCAACATCAAGGTGCTACAGTGCCATGAAACAGAATTTACAAATTAACATCAAAAAGGAAAGCTTATCCGCATCAAACCAGCCCACTAAATACATAAAAAGGCATCAAAGATCGCTCTAGCCTGCTAACACTCACGCGCATCTGCAACATGGAAATTTGACCTAAAATTTATTTAAGAAATCATTTTGAAAAAAACGGTGGTATGTAGGACCAACAAACAAACTAAAAATGTTATAACCAATCACTCGGCAGGAATCGTTTTCGTTATTGGCGGCCAAAAAATCATTTTTAAAAAATTCTCTTCTCGAGTGGCTACCTCCTCGAGTGGCTACCTAAGTTGCTCAAAATCAGTAAACAGTCGCCTCCCAGACAAAGCAAACAGTAAGCTTATTTAATTACAAGCAATCATGCAGGTGGAACTCTTAATTCAACCTTTTCTTTCATTTCAAGAATCTAAATTTGTTTAAAAAATCATCTCAAATACTACTTGAAGTTTTTTTTGCAGTTTAAAAATTGCAGCAATTTTTCAATTTATTAGTTTTGAAGTTTCTTCAAGCTTTTTAGTTTTGCCCGCTCTGTTTGACTTAATATTTTATTTTAAAGAAAGTTTCTCCTCTTTTTTGATTGCTATTTTGGGCTATCTTTTTGTTTTTTTTTCTCGAATACCTGAAAGGGGTCGAATACCTGAAAGGGGCGTCCGCCCCCTGAATCCGCTCCTGATTGTAGGTAGTTTTCTTATATCCTCGAATGAAAGTATATACAAAAATTTAACGTTTGAAAACAACATGAAATGTTTAGAGGATGTAATTTTCGTCTGGAAAGTAATTACCAACAGAAAACAACTTTTCTTGTAGCTAGGTAGTTTTTAAGGTAGTTATTCGTAAGCCTGGTCGACGAACGTGTTACCATTTTGAGTTCAGCAGCCAAAAGATTTAAACTAACAGGTTTCGAGCAAAATTAGTGAATTCATGGCTTGAAGATTTTCAAACGCTACTTTGACACAACATGAGGCGGACCTCCAACTTCTTTGTTCTGCTACTTTTTGTTTGAAGCTGGGCAGCGCCTATATTCTGGGTTACTTCAGAAGCTGTTGACCAAGCAAGGTGTCACGTTTTTAACTTCTTCATGAATAGTTCATTAGTGCTGGTTTCTATCACTGACTTTTTTGTCGATGTTGTCAATGCAAGTCGATGATTTACAAATGCTCTCTCAATTGCGTCTGAGCAAACATCTACCAATAATGAGCTTTTGGCCAGGCTATACTTTGACATGAGAGTCTAGGAGTACTCTGACCGCCGAACAGTCCAGTCAAATTTTCTCTGAAGAAGGGCATCAATTTTCTTCATGCCCCCGGAACGCTCAATATTTCCCCCTCCCCGAACGCTCAATTTCCCTCGGAATGCTCATTGTTTTTCGCGGTGGTTTGACAAATTAAATTCCTTTATAACGTCGAGATCTTCGAGATTTTTTTGTGAACGCTGCTTATTCCACTTTTCGCTCGCCTGAGCTTACAACCATCTGTCCAGTACATCACTCTGACCAATACAATCATTAACGACTGAGATGCACGTGGCAAACCGACGGTGAAAACCTGTCCAATGTGCTAGATCAGTACGAGATTACTTTCCCAAAGCACTGAAAAGTGCCTGTTTCTGCAAAGTTCTCTACGCGCAAGCAAAACTTTTGAAAAAACAGGCCAAAAAAAATTTGGTTTTAGGCAATTTTTGGAAAACTTTGAACAAAAAACTGCGTTTTTTGACGCATGCTTCCCTCTCAAAATTTATATATAATTATATACAAACATATTAACAAGAAAAACTTCTTTTAAAAATATGTAAGGTTCTTCACCAAAAATGGATTTTTCAAGACAGTACAAAGGGGGTACCCTTTGGGTCGGCAGGGGATTCAATACCTGAAGGGGGCGTCCGCCACTCTACCCCGAATCCGCCCCTGATTGTAGGTAGTTTTCTTATATCCTCAAATGAAAGTATATACAAAAATTTAACGTTTGAAAACAACATGAAATGTTTTGAGGATGTAATTTTCGTCTGGAAAGTAATTACCAACAGAAAACAACTACTCTTATAGCTAGGTAGTTTTTTTAAGGTAATTATTCGTAAGCCTGGTCAAGGAACGTGTTACCATTTTGAGTTCAGCAGCCAAAAGATTTAAACTAAGAGGTTTCAAGCAAAATTAGTGAACTCATGGCTTGTTCTCAGTGTCCTCATACCATGAGATCTTTCTTCAAATAGGGCTATTACATTATTAATACAATTCTTTTCCTTATTAGAGATGAAACGAACTTTTAGTTGCTCCTCGCTTCTCGTACACTGAAATTAAAACTTGTGATTTTGATTAAAATTGATGAATTATTTGGAGATCTAACAGTAATGTAGTAGCATAACACAATTCAACGAGTCTTCCTGTTACTTGGTCATCAATCAAATGCTGCTTCTTCGCTGACGGGAAAGATTACTTCGCAAAATCTCATCTTTTCCTAATAATGATGAATAAGGCAAGTAGCGATTGCATCTGAAATTTTTTTTATTTTTTGGAAGGATTTTCCTTCTTATGTAAAACTGTCAGCAATCTTTCATTATGTCCGCCGTAGTTTTTTTGAATTTTTTTCCTTTCGAAGAGTGGACAGGAGAATATGTTTTCTGAGGGAATTTTTACATGCTGTTAATTCTTTTCAAATTTAAAAAAAAATGCCGGTTCCTTCCATTCTAGTTTTGTTCAATTTAACGATTAACGCTCCTAATTACAACTTTTTTTTGGAAGGATTTTCCTTCTTATGTAAAACTGTCAGCAATCTTTCATTATGTCCGCCGTAGTTTTTCTTGAATTTTTTTCCTTTCGAAGAGTGGACAGGAGAATATGTTTTCTGAGGGAATTTTTACATGCTGTTAATTCTTTTCAAATTAAAAAAAACGCCAATTCCTTCCATTCTAGTTTTGTTCAATTTAACGATTAACGCTCCTAATTACAACTTCAAACGTTAAAAAAAACATAACGTACAATTTCTAAAGAAAACACCAGTGAGTTTTGTCAAATGGCACACAATTATGTATCCGTACTGAACTCCCATCCACCATCCATCAAGAATAACATCAAGGTGCTACAGTGCCATAAAACAGTATTCACAAATTAACTTCAGAAAGGAAGCTTA